CTCATTTCCCCGACCTCTGAAGGATAGAAGGCTGAGTCAACCTTGATCTAGTCAGGACTGAATTGCTGGCAGGGAGGGAGTGGTAACCCATGTCTGGTTGACTAAATTCCATATGCCTAGATCACACAAAGTAAGCTGAATTCAGGCATCTCATTAAGCCATGATATGGTTTACTTGATTTTGGAATAGGAGATCCAAACCTAGACAGTCATGGCTTATTTAGTAAGCCAAAGCAAAACAACACGCAATGCAGAGCCATATATTAACTTAGCCATGAGATCTGATCTTTAAGCTCCATGTACCCAGATAGTTCCTGCTCATGGCTGTCAGATGTCTGTTTGATTTTTCAAGGTTTCACTACTATCGTTTTCTTTCTTTCTTAATAGAAATGGAGCAATGTTTAATAGAACAGCATTAACTCCCAATAGTCACCTTCCTTATCCACTCCCTGAGAACAATCACTGGGAGGGGTAAGAAGGAAGGTGTTGACACTAAAGAGTCATGGAAAAGGAATTACTGGGAGGGGTAATGTGCTAATCTCAAGAGCCTTGGAAAGGAGAAAATATCAGTGGTAAGGCTGCTTCCCCCTTTCCCTTTTGGCCCCCATATTGTTTTGTGGAAATACGGTAAGGCGATCTGTTCACTAACCTGTAGAAATAGCAAATGTATGTTTACGCTTGTCTGCAAGGAATTATGGCTAAATGGATTTGTATTTGCTACACCTTGTTTTTAAGTGCTAGAGCATCTACAGGCAGCTTTCTTAAGCTTGGCACCTCTAGGGGCTCTGAATTATAGCTCCCACACTCCATAGCAATTGTAGGTTGTGCTTGCAGTGGGTAATGGAAGTTGTGGTGGAGCTCACATGAGCAACATGGAGTGGAGAGTGCTGGAACTTTAATGATGAGATAGATATAAGGGCAAAAACATAGCCTGAAAAATGGCCCATTCTAGTTTTAATTGGTTTCAGTATTTTCAAATAAGCAGCACAACAATAAAAGAATTATAGAAAGGAAAAGGAACACTGAGAACGTTTATTGAATTTGAAAACGTTACAATGCATAATATTGAACATTTGTTAGGTTCAATTTATAGCTTTCTTGTGAACTAAGATTCAGAACCCAAACATATCAATGACTACAATTAAATGCTACAGAATTAGAACACAATTGTGAGTAATGGAAAAAGAACATTAATTTTACCTTGCGTATTATACACAGAACTGGTACAAAATGTTTTACTGTTGATACATCATTCCAGTCTTAATTGCTAAAATGAGTTATTTGTTTTCTGAAAAAATGATGGAAATATAATGGTTGGATCATTTTTCCTTGTTTGGTGGCAATGTTGCAAAGCTCAGCCATACTGGAAAATTATTTAATATAAAATGGAACAAATCCTGAAAGTTGTAATCCCACTAAATTCCAAGATAGTTTTATTAAATTTCATTCAGCCCTATATTTCTCCAAAATATTCTGAATTGGCATTGTATATGTTAATGCATTCTGTATGCTTTTTATTAGTAAGGATGTTTGATTCCGCTCTTTGGAAGAATGGTTAGCCAAAGTTTGGGAATATGCCTCAATGTCTAAAATAAGTTCATATTTAAAAAACTAGATCTGATGTAGAGTTCAATTCTATTTGGAAACCATTTCTAGACTACAGTGTTGTATGTAGAATTGTGCCACATTCAGGATTAAGGTTTTCAGATTTGCATTTTAACTTGACATTATATTATCTACAGATCGTTCTTGGTTTATGGCCATTCAATCAGTGACTGTTCAAAGATATGGTGGCGCTCAACAAATGGTACTTATGATGGGTTCACATAGGTCCAGCTATCACAGTGTTCCCACAGTTCCAATATTGCAGCAAACTCTGGTCACGTGATTGGGATTTCCAGTGTGCGCTAACGTCATTCCACAAGCAAACACAATGGGGAAGCCAGCAGGAAGTCAGAAGTTGTAGTGATATGAGGTCCTTGTTTAACAACCCACATAGTCCTCATTTAACAATGGTAACTGGGACTGCCAGAATTGTCACTGCTAAGCAACACAGTCAGGTAACATCACACAACTTTGCTTAGTGACAGCAGTTCCAATTGTTGATCACATAGTTTCTCTCTCTCTCTCTCTCTCTCTCTCTCTCTTTCTATAATGATTTGAATAGAGTTGACCAAATACCTTTAGTTTAAAGTTATTGGGACATGTTTTGATTGGAAAATGGATATGAAATGACTTATAATATTATATGCTGTAATAATGTATTAGAATGTGGTGATTTCAAATTCATTGGCTATCCACCCATGTTTCACTGCTTATATTTGGTTCTTTACCTGTATATCCTGTTCTTTATAGTTTCATAAATTTGTACTTATATTAATTTGAATATAAGTACAAATTTATGAAACTATAAAGAACAGGATATACAGGTAAAGAACCAAATATAAGCAGTGAAACATGGGTGGATAGCCATGAATCTGAAATCATCACATTCTAATACATTATTACAAATTATCTACAAATTATTCAAATTATCTGTTACCCATAGTTTAAAAAAAAAACACAGTTAAAAAAAAGATGACAGAGATGGGGCCAGGCTGTACTGGACAAACACTTCCTAAGCAAGCCCACCTGATCTGGATGTTAGTCTTGGTGAGCTTTATGGCAACAGGTGTTCTTGGCCTGTGACTCGAATTAGTTATGTCACTTGGGTGGTTTCTTGGCCCTGTTCTTGCCCTGGACTCCCAGCTGGCTTGGCTGGGATCGGGTCTCACTGAAAAGCAGTTGCAGCCTTTGGCCCCAGCACAGAGATTGTGTAAGGCAGGGACCAGCTGTCTCACTGCCCCCAGACTTCCCACCGGGCTTGGTTGTTGGTTGAGTTGGTAGTGGAGGAGGAGGAGGAGGAGGAAACCCGCAGGAGGGTTTCTTGCCTTTTTCTCCCGTTGGGGGCTGCCCTGGGCTGGGAAAAAGTGCAAATCCCAGTGGCTTGTGCAAAAGTTCTCTTTTGGCTCGAAATTACCAGGGCTGTCTCCATCAAGAAAACTCATCAACATAACAATATCAAAGAATATAATCCATGCAAATGTCTATTTAAATTGAGAGCACAATGCCAGGAGGACTTGAGGTTGGCAAATCTTGCTTCTGAGAGTATCCCTGGCTGAGGGGAAGGGAATTAAAAGATGGATAAGGTGGAAGCCCAATGCCTGTGAGCTCAGGATGCTGGGGGGGTTGGGGCAGGTAAGAGAGCGTGAGATCAGCGGACACCTTTTTTCCTTTGCTTCTAGCTTCCTCCTGCTTAAAGTATAAAACCGGTTTTGGTATGTTGGCATTTGAAGTAGGAAATCTCTCGTGCTCTTTCTTCTCCTTGCCGGAAAAAGCACGAATGTTTTCACAATACCGTATCTAAAAACAGCAACTCCTTGCTCCCTGCATATATGATTTCTGGGGTAACTCACATGTAGTCCTCGACTTATGACCAAAAGGGCCCCCAGAATGTCCATTGCTAAGCAAAGTGGTGGTTAAGTGAGTTGTGACCAATTTTACGGCCTCTTTTTTGCCGTGGGCATTAAGCAAACCACTGCGGTTATTAAACGAACCACAGGAAATGAATCCAGCTTCCTTGTCAGAGGCCAAGCAAAGGGCGACCTCCAGGGCCTGAATTTTGATATCCTCAAAATGCTGTGACAGTTGTGTGAGGAAGTCTGGTTAAGAGTAATTTGTTTCAATGCCATTGTACCTTTCAACGCTTGCCAAATGAATGGTTGTAAATTGAGGATTACCTCTAAGGCAGAGGTCTCATTCTCGCAGCCCGCAGGCCAAATGAGGCCCGCAGGACGATATCCTCGTGGCCCCCACCGTGATATGAAAATATAATATTAGTGTATAATATAAATATAAAGTATAATATAAAGTATAATATTATGCGGCCCAGCCTCACCCAGCCTCTGCCTCCAGCGGCCCCCAGGTAAATTGTGTTTGAGACCCCTGCTCTAAGGTGTTTAACATTTGGGTGATTTCAAACATTTTGTAGAATCCCATCCTACTTGTTTTTGTGTGGGGGACTGTTGGGAGCAGTAGTCAGTATCTCTGGAAGGAGCCAAATTGAAAAAGACACCCACCACAAAGAAAGATGCATTCCTCCCTCCCTCTACAATTATAGGCATAACACAAGTGCCAATTACAGCTAGTTAAAATGCTGCCTACAGTGCAGTCTTTCTCATAATAAACATTCTCCAGATGCCTTAGACCTACAACTCCCAGAATTCCTAGGTTGGGTAAAGCTTCCACAGAATCTTCTCCTGGATGCAGTTGCTGCACAGACCACAAAGGTTGGTTGTCAACGGTTGGGTCCTTCTTCAAGCTTTGAGTTCCAGAATTTGGAGTGACCTGTTGCGAGTAGTTGAATGCTACCATTAACAGGAATCCCAGTTGGCCAAATTTTGTTGCTGAGGGACATGTGTTACCCCCCAAATTAGAGTGATATGATTCCAGCGTTGACGCTATGCCTTGGAAAATTAAATAGGCTCCGAGGCAGGAGGACATAAGATTTGGTGTCGCAGTTTTCCACCATTCACTCAGCAGTCAATGGTCTTGGGTCAGACTATAGAAACTGCAAGTCATCTTCGGCTAGCAATTCTTCCCTAGCCTCACATCCTCCAGTTTTCCATGCTGGCTATGGGAGGTAAAGTCCAACATGTCTGAATGATATCAAGTACTCTTAAAAAAAAAACCCTTTCCAAAGAAACAGGCATCTTCCGTGATGTTTGTTTTTATTTGTGAGTAAACTGATCTCTGCAGCTTCTTCCTCAAACATGAGCTCTTCTGAGCACAAAATACCACTCTGGTCCCTGCCTGTCTGCTGGTGGTTATGCGTGCCACCGTGAGAGTCAAGCAGATTTTAAATTATTTTTGGCAGTATCCTGCCCTCTGCTGATGACTCACCTTGCCTGGGCCAGCAGAAGCACGTCCCCTTTATATCCCTCCTTTCTCTTCCTTTGACAGTAACCGTCTGCTCTCCTCCAACTAGGAATTCCTGATGGGTCTCAGAGCCAAGTGATTTCCCTTGGAGGCAAGAGGCAAGGTGAACTTTCCCCAGAAGACATGGAAGTGAAGGGGCAGCTGATAAATTCATCCAGCTACAGCTCTTCAGGTAACTCCCTTCCCTCCACCACCTGTTCAGCGTCATTTCAGTGACCTGCAGTGAATCCGAAGCCTCATCCCTTGTTTTTCTGCTCTGCCTTTGCTTCTGCAGAAGCTCTGCAGCGAGAGCTCTGTCCTCGAATTCGGCTAGAGCGGGTCCAAGAACTCTTGGAAAAGCAGAAGTCTCTCCAGCAGGTGCTCAGCCTGCGCCTGAAGGAGCTGCGGCGAGTTTGCCTGCAGGAAGCGGTGCGTAACCGTGACAGGATAAGAAGCCAATGGGAGGGACTGAGGCAGTGGATCTACTGCTTTGAGAAGCTAGACTTTCCCAACCTGGGGTTTATCCTGTTTGTTAGACCCTCATCCCCACCACTGTCACTGAGTGCTGGCCAAACAGGCTTTGTAGTCCAGGACATCTGAAAAGCACTAAGCGGGGTTGGGCGGAGGTATGCACCCAACCCTGAATTTACACGTTTTCTGCTCTGTGTCAGGGTTCAAACTCTTTGAGAGTTTTAGTTTTAATCAGGTAGGTCATGAGCAGACGCTCACAGAAAGAAACAAGGAATGGGCACCTGAAAGTCTTAAGCTAATTGAGGGCTTGGAAGTCACTCTTTTGCAGAAACGCAAGAAAGGAAAAGGAAACACAAGAAAGGGAAAGGAAAAGGTTGGCTTGAGTTTCTTCAAGATGTAATAACATAAGGAGATGCCACCTCAGCCCGTGTGGCCTTTTCCCGCTTTCTGCTTGGAATGCAATAGCTCACCTAGTGCTTTCCAGATATCATGGACTACTAAGGCTGTTTGGCCAGTGCTCATCCTCACTGGCTAGGTTGGCTGGATGTTAAGAATGGATCAGCATGATTTAAAGCCATCGGGGTCAGGAAGGCAAGTGTGTATGAGCCATTGGTTTCCTAATGGGCCCAAAATGACTTCTCGGGCCAAGGTGTTTTAGCTGCAAAGTTGAAGAGTTTCATATAAATGGTATGAAGCTTGTCACCTTGGGTAAAAATCTCATATCAAGTTCCAGTGAGTTCCTTTGTTTCATTTCTAGATCTCATACCTATTTCATGTTGGTTGTTTCTCCTCTCAATGTCAGGAATTGACAGGAAAATTACCCCCAGAATATCCTCTGGAACCCGGAGAAAGGCTGTGGCCAGTGAGGAGGAGAACAATAGTGGCCTCCCGAATTGCCCCTGTCTTGAAGAATGAGGTGAGCGATCAATCTTATGCATAAGAGAATGAGGGGACCCCTGCATCTCTATTGCATGTTGGACTTTGGGGACAGTCCTGATGCCACATCCCTGCCTTTTTATTTATCTATATATAAGGTGGACTCATCCTTCCATCCTTCCAAGGTGGGTAAAATGAGGACCCAGATTGTTGGGGCCAATATGCTGACTGTATAAACAGCTTGGAGTCAGCTGTAAAGCAGTGTAAAGTAGTATATAAGTCTAAGTGCTATTGCTACTACCAAATTTGGGGACTGAACATCTCACTCACTCTGGGTGGTGTTCAGTTAAATCCCCAAAACATAAACATATAAGTATGTGTTATTATAATATATGTTAGCATAACATAATATTATATGTTCCTAGTTTGTATGTTAACATAATAGGTGTTATGGTAAAATCTTATACATATAACATTACATGTATGCTATGTGTAAGTGTATAAATGTTATACTTTAGGAAAACCCTTCGCTGGAGGAGCTGAGCCAGGAGCTGGCCCTGCAGCAGCAAGTGGCTGAGGCTGCCCGACGGCTAGCCGTTGCCCCTGACTTAACAGTTGATCAGCGCCGCCGCCGGCGGCAGGTTCAGGCGGATGCTGCCCAGCGTCTGCGGGAGCTGGAAGTGCAGGTAGCAGAATGCCGGGTGCGGCTGGGCAAAGGACCCCTCCAGAGAGCTGCTCCCGGTAAGTTATGCCGATTGCTAGCCGATTTCTCAGCTGCTTCATTGGCCACAGACAGGCTAAGCAACATACCAGGGTGTCATAGGCACAGTTTAAAAACACAAGCAGAAAGGAAAAAGGAATCGGGGTGATAACAAACTACACACACACACACACACACAAAAGCATTGGTCAGTCTCAAAAGCAGGCTCCTATTCACCCTGCTGAAAGAAACAGGTCTTGTGGCTTTTTTAAAAAAGCGCAGCAGGGTTGGGGCTGAGAGGATTTGATGGGGATGCTGTTCCCCAGAACAGAGGCAGCCCCTGAGAAGGCCTGTCTCTCAGGCCATGTAAGACGGCATTGTTTTAACTGTGGGACCTTTTAATCCCCTTCTTTGGTCCCTCACTTCTAATTCTCTAAACATCCCAAATATTCTTATCCTTCCCCTAGATTCTTCGTTAGAAAGGCCGGCCATTATTTAGCTCAACAGGTACAGGTTGCTGCAGAGGGATTCAGAGTCTGTGGGGAAGAGCGTAAGGGGGATGGAACGCGCTGCAAAGAGGAGTTTGTGGGAAGCTTCATGACAGCAGTGATGGAGCTAGAGGAAGGCGGGACTGTTCCCTTGCTCCATGCTGAAATTCCTTCAGATTGACAGCCAGTATGGAGTACTGTTCCAAAACGTTTAGGGATTATTATTATTTTTTGAAGACTTTGAAGATAAACACATTATTATAGTGGTGAAGGTATTGAATTAGAGCATGGAGGCCTGGTATTTAGTTCCTCCTTAGGCCCAGAATCTCACCGGGTGATATTAAGCCATTCACTCTCTTGCTCTGCAGCCTGTCTCAAAGGAGTGTTGTTTAGGGGAAAAAAAATAAGAGGAGGAAGTACTATGTGTGCCATGTTGAACCCCTGACTGAAAGATGGGATAGACATCAAATCGGTTAAAAAAAAAAACAAACTAACCCATTCAACAAATCAAAAGTTTTTTAAAAATCTAGTTGCCACACAGAGAACAATTTGGAGGGGCATGGAGTGTTTTGTGGAAGCATCATACATCGTACTTTGTATTTCCTTTTTGAAATACAAAGGCGCTTGCCTAAGCAGTGATGATTCCTCTTGTGTTGGGAAAGGTATTATCGTCAGCAACAGCAGCGTATGTAAATCACGTTGAATGACCCACCACCGTTTAGCTGATATATGTCATCAAAGGGTCTCAACTCTGGCCACTTTTAAGATGGGTGGACTTCACCTGCCAGAATTCCCCAGCTAGATGGAGGAGTGAAGTCCACACATCTTAAAAGCTGCCAAAGTTGAGAAGCACTATTTTATCTTCCCACTTTCTCATCCATTTCTTTTTTTGTTCTCTCTTTTTAAGAAGAGGCATTTCACTCGGAGAGCAGCTCCCTCTCTGAATCAGCCAGCCATGAAAATGGTAAGCGTGGCCTAGTGGTCATTCTCAGATTGAAGAAGAGTGCTTGATGGTCTGAGATAAGCAGATACAAACAACAATTCTCACAAATAAAATGGTCTGAAGAGTCAAAATTTCCTAGACAGCCTTGTTCTCTAATTCTTGAGGGATACTGAACAATGAGATAAAGATGCTCTTATATAGGTTCAGAATATGACTCTTTACCAACCAATGGACTGATACAAAACCACACGGGCTGTCCATGTTTGTATGGGGTTGTCTCATTTAATGCATGCTTTTAGAGAATATAAGACTAGTATTTTGCCTTATAGTTATGTCTCCACTTGGAAGGGAGAATTTAGAGAGTTACTTATGCCTTAGCACTCTTAGGATGGATTACTGCAATGTGTTGCATATGGAGCTATCTTTAAAGATCACCTGGATGCTACTATTAGTACAAAATGTAGCAACCCTCCTGCTAACAGCTGAGAAGCACTGTAATCCTATACAGTAGCATTATTGCAGGCACAGTGTTGCCAATAGTCTTCTGAATATAGTTCAAGGGACTGGTTTTAAATGTTAAAAGTTTGGTTTGGGGTATTATAAACATGAAATTGTGGATAGCAGGAGACAATATTTTCAAGCCTTGACTCCCTAGAGATCGGGAGGGTTTTATTAAAAGAGAAGTGTGAAAATAGTTATTTCATAGAGCTTTTAATCAATAATGTTTCTGGAATTTTGGATGCAAAGGAAGGCTTATTTTTATGGTGTTAATTATTTTATATGAATATTATAATAAGTATTCAAAACAAAAATTGGGAGTTAATTTAACCATCATTTGGAACCATGATTCTTGAGTTTCATGATGGCTTATGCATAGAAGACAAGAATTATTCAACATCTTCTTCAAAGCACAGGATATAAAAGCACAGGATATAAAAAAACTGGCGGCCTAGGAGCTTCTCCCATCATTTAGTTTTGTATATGTGAGTTTTATAACCATGTTTATGTCTAGAAGCAGTTTCATCAGGTGATAGTTGTTTGTTTAGAAAAAAATCTAAAGTTTTGAGACCATTGGATTTTTTTAAATTGTGGGGGTGGTTCTATTTTGGCAAGATGTGCAGATATACTGTCTTCTGTCCTCAGATGACCCTCGCAGCTTCCATCCTTCCAAAGTCTCCAGCCACCCGGGAGCTTTCCCAGACAGATCCTCACCTCCCAAGGCCCGAGATCACCTACGTGCCATCTCCAGCAGTCCTGACCGCCGACCAGGCTGGCGAATTTTGCAGCCGGATGTGTACAGTGAGGCCAAGGACCGCAGGAACTCTGTTGCCAGCCCAACCAGGTTGGCCAAAGATGCCGGATGGCTGGTCTGAGCAAATGGGGGAAAAGCAACCCAGGCTGACCTGTCAGCATGGATAAGAGTTTTGTGTGGGCTTAGAAGCCTGATTTTACATACGCAACAAAAATGAGCTGATGGAATTGTGGGGTGTGATTATTTTAATATTTTGCTTATAAAATAATTCCTGCCCAGCTTTGCAGATAGCGGAGAAAAGAAGTGAAATAGACTAGATTCTGAGGGCCTGTGGTCTATTTTGAAAGGATGAGTTCTTTTTGTTCCCCCCAACCACCCTTTTTTCTTTAACCATACAGAAAAATTTGGAAATCTGCTACGTGGAAGGATTGTTAAAATAATACCATCCTGGCAGTTTTCTGGCTTGTTCAATTGGCTGCGCAAGCTTGGCCCATTGTGTCCAGATTAGGTGCCTCCAATCTTGGCCATTTTAAGCCTTGCAGACTTCAACTCCCAGAATTCCCCAGCCAGTCATGCTGGGGAATTCTGGGAGTTGAAGTCCAGAAGGCTTATTAAAGTGCCCAAGGTTGTATGCCCTTTGTCAAGATTTCACTTAGGGTTAGGAACTAGAGTGGAAATTGCTAACTGCAGACAATAAGGGAAGGAGTAGAAAATCCCATTCAGCTGGTATCTTTTCATCTCTCCCTAGAGCTTGTTTTGTGAAGATAAATGGGATTGAACTCCTCCTTCCCAGGAAAACAAACAGGGGGAAAAAGCAGCTTAGAGGGCAGCTTTTAAGCTTCTTTTGCCAACCAAGCTGAGCTGCTTGCCTTGGTGACTCAGGCTCTCAGAGCACTTTTTTTTTTTTTGGTGCGGAGGGGAACGGGACTTGGAATCATCCTTTTAGTCTAAGTGCTTGTCCACATGTGAGCGTGCAACGTGGCTCTTGAAACACGAAGAGCCGAACCCACTTGTTTAAAAAAGGATCCTTGTCTGTTTACACAGCCCCAATCGCACCCTCCCCAGAAGCATGTCCAGTTTTGAGGGCCGGAGCGTCCCAGCAACTCCTGTGTTGGCAAGAAATGCGTGCAGTGGAAATCACCAGTTAAGGTAGCCTAAATCCCCTTTCTTCTCTCCTTTTCTCCTGTCTTGTAGACGGCCGGCCTACTGACAGCGTTTTACTATTTTTTCTCTATGCAGTAACTAGCAATTTGAAGCACAGTAAATTGTTGCTCTGCTTTGTGTCAGACTGCACTTAACTGAGGCTTTAAATTCAGGGGTGGGTTGGACAAGGAATCCAAAGGGATATTTGAGGGAATCGGCTGCGGGTAGCAAGAAAAGGTCAAGATCGGTTTTCAAAGATCCTGCAAACTAATCGGGAAGACAGCAGTGCCTCTAACTCTTTTACTCTAGTTTGTGTCGTCCAAACTTTTGCTATCCTTGTCATCTTTTTAAGGCACGCACATGGGAGGGAACACTTCAGTATCACTCCCCCAAAGTGGAATGTTTCTGCTTCAACTTCCTACTCTGGGCAATGCCTCAAATTTGGAAGAAGACTTGATATGGCCCTAGTAGTAACACTGCCATGGTAATTCATGCAGGGAATTGAGAACTTACCATCCTTTTCTTTTGGGGGAGGGTGAGGAATCTTGAATTGCCCCAGTCATGCTGGATGCAGATTTAAACAGCAGTTATCTAACCAAGTCTACCCCCTGACCAAAACAAGTGGACTGAAAAGGAAACAAAGCTAATAGGCACCTCGAGATGCAACAGGTAAAACGACTTCTCTATAGAGCAGGGGTCTCCAACCTTGGCAACTTTAAGACTTGTGGACTTTTAACTCCCAGAATTCCTCAGCCAGCAAAGCTGGGAGTTGAAGTCCACAAGTCTTAAAGTTGCCACGGTTGGGGACCCCTGCTCTAGACGGATATTTAGGATGTGCAAGAGATTCTTACTCCCCTTCTCCCAATCATGCATGTAATTGTATTTCTTATTTCAAAGCTATCTAGCATAAAATTAAAAGCAGTAATTTATCCTCTACTTCGTCCCAGGTCAGAGGCCCCATCTCTCCACTCCCGCCAGTGGTCAGGCAGCCACGATTCCCAGCTTGGCCCTCCCAGCCGGGACACCAGTGCTGACAGAGCTTCCCTCTTTGCTGCTCGGACCCGTCGAAGCAACAGCTCCGAGGCCTTGATTGAACGGGCCCCTTCAGAAGACCCCCTCCTGCCCACTGCCCCTCCGTTTAAGAGTGCTGAGGCCCTGACCCCTTGCCTCTCTGGCCGGACCCCTCGCCCACCTTACAACGATCTCCTCTTGGACTATTACCTAGAACGCCGGAGCTGTGGCGGTGGTGAGCATTTGTCTCGCAGGGACGGCCCCCCACATCTGGAGTGGGGAGCCTTTTCTGAAAGCCCGCTTCAGCGCCGAGCCCGACCCGCTGCCCGCACTAAATCCTGCGGGCCGCTGCTGCCCCCGCAGTCCCGCGAGGTTGGCTATGGACCCCCCTTACTTCCTCCACGCAACTTCCACAAAGCCCTTGCCCTGGAGGGGCTCCGGGACTGGTACTTACGCAACGCTGGAGTTACCCAACGCGGGGCACCAGAGAGACGAGGACCATCTCAGTCTGTACAGCAGCACCTGCGAGGCTACTGTGATCCGGGACCCTCCAACCCCGACGTGGGGTATTACGGGGGGCCAGTAATAGGAGGTGGACTGCCTCACTCTGTGAGCTATGCCGGGCAGCCACTCTATGGCAGGTATGCAGCCCGTTTTTTCCCTTTGCCGTGACAAGCTCAGCAGCCCCTCCCCTCTCCCCCTCCCCTCGCTTGCCTAAGGCCAACCCTGCGCCTCTTCCCTCCGCTCTCCCCCTCTTTCTTTGGCTTCCCCCCCGCTTTTTCAAAACAACTGGCGCTTCTCTGGCTGCGAATTCTAAACTGTTGGAAAGGCCTGCCTGTGAGGAAGAGGAGGAAAAGGAAGGAGGCAGGTATCCCTTACACAGCAGCTTTCCCCGACTCACCACCCCTTTGCTGGCTGGGGACAATGGGAGTTAAAGTCTAAAGCAGGGGTGTCCAACCTTGGCAACTTTAAGACTTGTGGACTTCAACTCCCAGAATTCCTCAGCCAGCTTTGCTGGCTGAGGAATTCTGGGAGTCGAAGTCCACAAGTCTTAAAGTTGCCAAGGTTGGACACCCCTGGTCTAAAGCCTCTGGCCAGTTGCAAGGCTGGTTCTTTGTCACGGATGGCAGAGACCCATTGAATGAACCAAAGGAAACTGGGATGGTGGTTAGTGTAGGGTAAACTGGATCCAGAACTGGAGACAAACCAGGAGGGAAAATAAGTATTTTCACTTGTTGCATGACTCCTTTCTGCCCCTTTGTCTAATTCATTCTTTCTTTCTCTCTCTCTCTCTCTCTCTCTCTCTCTCTCTCTCTCTCTCTCTCCTTTCTTCCTCTGCTTCACTCTGCTCAGACCTTTTGTGGACCTGCTTTATCTGGAAGATTCTTCTGGCCCTTACAGCTTGGATTCCACAGAGCACCCAACCCCAGGGACGTTGGTTTGATTCCCCCCGCTCCCCTTTTCCCCCAAGGGGATCTCCTGCCTTTTTGTTTTCCTTTTTTCTTCTTCTTGCTGGTCCCTCTCTTTTGGGGGTGATGCACCATTGTGGGGATGGGGGGGGGGGGCTCCCTGCTGGCAGGGTAGGTTTCCACATGTGTGAGGGTGGGTTGTTGCATGTCATACTGGACCACAGGATGAGGGGAGGGAGGAGTGGGTCCATAGTTCTTCCTACAGTTGTTAACAAACCCCCCCCCCCCCCAATTTCAGACTTTGTGGGCTGGGTGGGGGGGAATCTGTGTTTACTGTACTACTTCTCCATAAAAGGGTTTTTCTGCTACGGGTGGCGCCCTCTTGTGCTCACTTGGGGAACAGTGCACTGTTACTGCCATGGTGCTCCGTGTTGGGGATTAACCCTGGACCCTGGAATGTATAAATGGAGAGGTTTGTGCAATGTGTGTTTCTTGTGAAATGTTATATAGCACAGATCTGTCATCTTGCTAATGAACATCAGTCCTGTAAAAAGTAGAGAGAAAAAAAAGAGAGATCTATACCACTTCTGTTGCCCTCACTGTGAAAAACTTAAAAGTTTGCCCTTCAATGTATTGTCCCTTCCTACTCATATCCTGCTCTTGGCAAAGCCCCGAATGAGGACAGTAGGGGGTTGGGAAATGTTTGCAGGATCCATTGGATGAACCTATTTCATGGCCCTGACCTTTCTCCTAGCAGGGGAACTCCACCATGGTGCTGGATTATAGGAATGCAGTGATTGGCTCCACCCATTCAGTCCAGCAATTACCTCTCACAGGGGGAAGGGGCAAGAAATCCCAGATGAAGGTGTAACACAGTCTGATCCGTGGGGTGGGTTATGGGAAAGGACAGCCACTTCCACGTGGCCTTCCCCAAAACCGCTGTGGGCATACCTGCGTGTATCAAAACCCAACTCTCACTGGGAAATGGGTTGCACCAACTTTAACAGGCAGTGTAACCCTTCATTTTTCTAAAAGTATGGCTGCACACCCTCTTCTGCCTGCTAGGCTGGACTGGTTATTTTCTCCTGTACCTTTCATCTGATATGCTTTCTGCCTTCTCCCCCAATTTTTCCAAAACTTGGAAGGAACATCCTGCCTTTTTTTCCTTTCACTGTAATAATAACCATTATCATCATCATCATAATTGTAAAACGTGTGATGGTTTTCCCCTGCTCTCACAATTGCACATAAAAGGAAAAGTCACTTTGTTTAAACTCTGTGCCAATGGAATCCAGGTTCATTCTGGAGCAGAGGGAAGGTGGGAGGTTGAGAGAACCCAAGAGAGGCTCCGGTTTTCTCCCCGTCCCTGTCCCTGTCTGAAGGAACAAGGGCCATATTGGAGTCACTGTCTTGTGTGTCCTTTTAATATACACTAATGTATAGATTATATATGGGGATCTAAATGTAAAACTGAGCACTGTGCATAAGGGAGAGAAGGTTTCTATAATAAAGATTGTAAACGAGGCCATGATTGTGTGAAAGCTTCATGTCAGGATCAGGATCATGGTGTAAACACTACTGGATAATGACTAGACTAGGGGTCGGCCATCCACGGCTCTGGAGCCACATGTGGCTCTTTCATCTCTCTGCCGCAGCTCCCTGTTCTGGTCAGCTCCACAATTGATAGGGCTTTCGGTTAGGACAGGTAGAGGAAAAAGGATGCTGCGCTAGGAGACTCTATGGTGGGGGGACTTGACTTCCGGTTGGCTCCAGAATTGAATGGGGGGGGGGCTTCCGGTTAGGCCCTTTGTGGCCCTTTTGAGTGTTTAAGGTTGCTGACCCCTGGACTAGACAGCATCTAATCTGTGAGCTTTAAACTTCATTTAGTAACTGGAACACTTGGTGGCTGTTTCAGCGTGACTTGCCTTGAAGAATTGCTATGAAAATAAAGCAGACAGAAATGTGCCACAAATGCCTCAAAGTTTTCCTCCTGGAAGGAAAATGGCTAAAAGAATCTGCCCATTTAATTTTGTTAGGATCATCAAGGGGTACTATTGACTGGGAGGAATCCACTTTGATTATAATAGAATCCAATAATGCACACAACACCTGAAAGAAGAGCATGTTTTTAAGTTACCCGCTCACAGGGAATTGAATGGACAGCAGTTGTGTAATCCTCTTAGCTAAACATCAGGGCTTTGCAAATCCTTTGCCTTGTACTTGGGAACATGCAGGACTGTGTATGAAGCACCTTTTTTGAAACATTAAAGCTGCTCACATCTTGTGCAGCTGCTTTGACAGCTGTTCCCAACTGTCTCTTTCAGGAAAGGCACTGCACATGCAAAAGTGGTTGTAGAGCAAAAAGAGAAGAAACATGAGACTACATGAGAAATGGTGTCGTGAAAATCACAAGACTTTATTTCCCATATGTAGAGAGTTTAAACTGGTACACTTAAATTGTACAATGCTGTTTGTTTGGTTTCTGAGAAAAATTAACTCCATGCTGTTTCCTGGTCTCCCTCATGTGCATCTGGACCTGAATGTTCACCGTACAGATTGGGGCAATGATTAAAAAAAAAGATCTGTGTATTTTTCTGAAAAGCTCCTTTCATCCAAATTTGAGGATTTCCACATGAGAAGCAATCTTCAAAGCTGACTCTTCTGCAATAAAACTGCATTTATGTACAGACCACAACACCACAAAAAGTTAAAGTAACACTTTAAACCTTCATCTAAACAATCATGATTACAAACAGTTGAAAACCTTTCTCCAATTTTATTGCTAGTTGGAAAGACGTCCTAGTGATTTTGGCACATATAAAAGTATAAAAACAGAGGGAGGCTGCATTCACTTCTGTAATTAACAAGCTTTAAAGACAGAGACATTTGGTGAAACCAGCATTCTCCATCCTTCAACAGACCGTTTGGTGGAGGGACACTCTTCACCGCCAGATACATGATTTCTTCCAATCAAACCTCTCAGACACACCTCCCAGAGCTAAGCAAATGGAGAAAAAGCCACTTCCCATCTCTTTCAGTAACCCAGCTAGAAATCCCAAAACGAAAAGCAACGATCCCTTCAAACTGCAGCTGTAGACATTTTAGTTCAACTTCAATTAGGGGGTTGGGTTTGTACCTGCATGTTCTACATGCAGCCCCTGAAGCAGGAGGTGTCAAACTCACATTGTCAGGGCGGCGTCACATGACCTATCGGAACTTTTTCCCCCTTTGCTAAACTGGGCGTGGACATGGCCAGCGCATGATGCATCCGGCCCGTGGACTGCGAGTTTGACTGCCCTGCTCTAAAGAATGAGGGAACATTCACAATCTACCACTGAGATTATGTATCAATACTTGTTACATAATTTGACTGGATTGTGAGTGATAAGAACATCTTTCAGAAAAACACAAACTGCAATCTCCCACTTAGAATAAAGCATCTGTTAATTGCTTTCCCTTTCCCCAAAAGCCTAGTATGCAGACCTACAAACAGTGGCATACATGCTTTGCATCCTCTAGTATGGTTGCAAGAGGCTTAATTGATTCATCCAGGTATGACTTAAGAGGGAAAAAAGCCCTTTTAAATCATGCCTCATGACAACTTGGTAGACAATAGTGCCATGTAGTTTCTTACCTACTGCAAAACTATGCAGGCAGGAAGACAAATATAGATACTTATGTCTTAAGCAGAACATCTCTAACTTAATGGCTATATCAAGAATTGCAAACCAGATACCAAGAAGTCCTCTGCTAGGATAACCAATGTGGTGCCTCCAGTTGGGTTTGATTATAATCCATACTGCCTAAATACTGACCCTATCATGAGAATTCCAATTCCAGCTGCCCCAGTTTGAGCAAACTGATCTCAACCTGATTAACAACTCTTAAATTTTCCTCCATATTAAAGTGGGAAGCAAAAGGCTGAACAAAGTCAGCAAATCACTTCAAGAGAAGTATCCACTGGTTTCACCCACTGGTCAACTGCATTTTATCACAATGAATTGTATGAATCCAGCTGAAGTGATTAGTTTACGGTGCAAATTGTTTTGCAAATTCAGAAAAACTTTTTGTTGTAACCTGTATAGGTCAGTTTATGATCCATACCTTACATATTTTGAAGCATTTTCCCTTCAAGCTCACCCAAGGGACTTGGGAATTGTTCTAAATACATGAAAAGCCAGTAGTCCAATGAGATTTGATAGCTGAAGTGAGCTATCAAAGATCCTGGCTTGGGAAAAGTAAAACACCCAACAAGCAGCAGATGTCATGAGAACACAAAAATTACATCTGGGGTATTGCACATATTCTACCAAGTACAAAGGCAAATTGAAGCTGCCCTCATGCAGTTCCAGATGCAACTCCCCAGACATCCACCCAACCCCACTGATCACTTAAGGCTGAAAAGACTGGAACGAACCAGCCTAAATAGCTTGATCAGACGCTAAGTTAATGCTTGTTATTTCCTGCTAAAAGCAAACAAGGACTTTCTAGAAGGCCAAAAAAACCCTCCAGGAAGTATAGATTCAAAGAACTCCTTTCTTAACTATCATAAAAGCTTATATGGAAAATCCTTTTCAAGCAAAATTACATAAATTTAATTATTGCTTCTTTCCATTCTTTTCAAAACAGCATGATCAAAAGAATACAATCAGTATTTTAACACCCCATTTTGTATGTATTGTATACTATTTAGAACTGTGGTTTGGTCTCTTCTCTGAAGTTTTGTACGAGAACCATCTGAATTCCAAATGACCTGAATAGAGAGGATTGTTGTGAGATAAAATATTTTGCATTTGCACATAATGCAAAGCCAGATTTTAGGATTATGATTTGTGATTATGCTTTACACACCCTGTTCTACTAACTATACTGTGCACATTAAGCTAATCTAAAAGTAAACAAATTGAATTGCACTTTATTGCCATTCACGAGTCAAGACAAAGTTTTGAAGTTTCCTAATTTGGTCTTGGAAAGAGACAAAAGTTCTTTTGCTTGTTAAATATACTCAAAAGTAGGGGCAGCTCCACACCTTTGAAGTGGAATGTATAGTCTGCAATATCTTATTAAAGTGATCAAATCTGGGCTTCAAAAATATAAACAGATGCTAATATAGGGATTAAAATAAACAAATTACCCATTTGATGCCATTTTGTGGGTTTTTTGCACATCAAATAGTCTCCTTTACCAGCACTTGGGAGTTAGCCTTCCCTTTCCCTCAAAAGCATTCATAAAAGAATCCTCTTAAGATTTGCAAATGATTAGCCTTCATCATTCATTCAAAGATTTAGCTAAATCTTCTCAAAATTGGCTTGCTCCCTTCCACTGCCAAACCTCATCCAAGTTGCTTTACTTGCTGCCTCCATCTGAATACCAAGAGCCCAAAACCTCTACAGATGAGGGGACACAGTCCCAAGAGTAAGCAAGACAATCCAAACTCCCCCCATTTCAGCCTCAGCTCTGCTATGAACATACCAGAGGGTGGATGGGGGTGGTGCTGAAGATTTCTGCTCTACAAGGGATAAATGATACTGGCCTAAGTAACGGGGTTCCTACACAAAGTAGCCCTAATACTGTTTTCTGAAGCCCTTTGAGCAGCGGCATTATGCAAATAATGAATAATACATTGAAAGCCCACCAATAATAATCCAGCTATCTACAGCCTCCTGCAATTCAAAAATTCTCAGCTAACTGGAGCATTTGGAAACTGTAGTCTCGACATATCTGGACCATATCTTGTGGGGAAAAAAGCTGAATTTAGAACAACACTGATTTCATTTGGTTCTGATTTCAATTTTTGTCCTTCTCTCAACCAGCAACTATGTATTCTAAACCAACAATTTACTACGGAGTTTTTTTTTTAAATTATAGTTTTCTTTCTTTGTGATGCCTTCCTTTCCAAAGCAAAAAAATATTTATTCCAATGGGGAATACTTAACATTAAACTGGAATGTTAGGCTGATTTCAGTCCATCTCCTCTCTTGGCTGTTACCCGGTTGTAGTTCTGCTGAGTTTGATGTAAGCTAGAGGCTCTTCCACAGGAACTCACAGCCAGGTTGCTAGATTGAGGCAAGCTGAACAATAAGCACGCAGGCGTCTGTTGGAAGGGAAGAGAGTAGTTCCAGAGGGAATGGAAACCAAGGTTGATGGTCTAGGATCCAGCCTCTTGTTCTTGGCCCACAGCTTCCAGGAGCAGCCCCATCGGTGTGCGCTTGAGTCCAATGTTCTCGATTTTGTTCTCAATCTTGTTTTTAAGGCTCCGCAGACGCAGGGAGGCATGGATGAGGCTCACTGCAAGGGAAAGAGAGGCGGGGGTGGGGGGGTGTTTATAGTCATTGGTAACAGAGGAATAGGCAGAACCACCTCCTCCCACTTCACACCAGAACCTCACTCTATTCCCCTGAGGGCAACGGAGTTATCCTCCGGAATGGAAGGTCATCCTGCATAAATTCCTTCACTAGGAGAAGATGCGAGATTGGGAATCCCTGATCCTTCAGATCAGTTTCATTTTTATAAAAGGGAGAGCCAGCCAGAGTCTGCAAACCCAAACAAGCCTGCAAGCCAAGCTGTCAGCTTTCAGTTCCCTGTTTATAAAAGAAAACAATTTTTAAAAAAACCTCTCTCTTTGTGTTCCTGCTCAGAGAATGGCATATAATAAAGAGGATTAAAAGCAGTGCCACCTAAAGTGCCACCGTTTCTTCACTCATGCAATGTAAATCATGCAACTTGTTTTAAATGTTTGAAGCCTGAACAAAACTCTCTTCCCCATCTTCTGTCTACGTGAAGCCATGTGCAGCATTTGGGTTGCAGCATAAGATGGGAAAACCAGAGCCGCTCCTGGCTGCAGGAGCGTTTGGCAGCAACGGGCTCTGTGTTTTCATATTGATCCCTACCGCAGGAAGAGAGAAACATGTTCTCTCATGCTAAATGAAATCCAATTCTCTTTGCTTGCATGTCTCAACAAAACCCACCCTTGGAAAATTCTGTCCACACCATATTCTGAGAATAAAACAGGTGTTCTGCACAAGCCTAAACAGATTGGGAAGAGACATAACAGACGCAAGAAAAGGCATTCTGGCTGTACTGATGCTGCACAGCCTTCCCACATATACAATTCAAGGTGCTGGTTGTCACCTTTAAAGCCCTTTATGGCTTGGGTCCAGATTATCTGAGGAAACATCTCTTGCCAGTGTCATCTACCTGACCCATTAGAGCGAGGAGACAGGGAATGTTGCGGGTCCCACCCCTGAGGGAGATACACTTAGTGGGACCCAGAAGAAGGGCCTTCTCTATGGTGGCTCCATCTCTCTGGAACATCATTCCCGCAGAGATTAGAATTGTCCCCTCATTAATACTATTCCGAAAGGCACTGAGGACCTGGTCTTGCAGGCGGGCCTGAGGAACCCATCAAATGGCTAGTGTGATCCACTGTCTTCGGGGTGCGGGGGTGGGGAGTTGGTTTTTGTTTTTGTTTTGTTTTTTTGCTTTCCCAAATTTTGTTCTATTGTACTTTACTAATTTATTTGATTCTTTTTGTTAGTTCTTATTGTTTTTATGTTTATTTTTTGTTTGAAGTATGATTTTACATTGGGTAAGCCGCCTCAAGTCGCCATGGGCGAATAGGCGGCAATATGAATCAAATGAATGAATGAATGAATGAATGAATGAATGAATAAATAAATGCCCTCAGCTGGGAACTCACACATTATGGGCAGAGCGATGAAAATCAGGAAGGTGGCAGAGCCTTCGAAAAGGGACACCAGGAAATACGCAGAACCAAGGATAGCAAAGAAACATGTGCCAGGGTAATTCCGCCGGAAGCGTCGTACGGAAGGCTTGTTCTCAGCTGCCCACACGAATCCTCCAAACAGCAGGCCTATCAAGAGGCAGCTTAGCAGAATCAGCATGGGTTGGAAGTACCTGCAAACGAGACCCCAAAGTCAGTCTTCACTTCTGCCCACAAGGGAGCACCATCTGCAATCCTCACGTGCATTCAATCCAGATTCCAGAAGATGTTTTGGGTGGCCCACTCTGAGGCCCCTCTATGGTTGTGGATGGTTTGGGGTTTCCTAAACACCTGGAGTGAGGGAAAATGATGAGGAACATAGGGCCTGGATATCTCTGAGCTGAGTGTCCCTCTAGTGCGGGGTTATGAAGCTCATGGAGTCACAGCGTTGTCATGTGATGTATCGGGACTTTTTTTCTCCTTTGCTAAATCGGGCGTGGGCAGCATGTGACACATCCGGTCCACAGGCTGGGAGTTTGACAGCCCTGCTCTAGTGCAGAGGTCTCCAACCTTGGCAACTTTAAGCGAAGCTGGCTGAGGAATTCTGGGAGTTGAAGTCCACAAGTCTTAGAATTGCCAAGGTTGGAGACTCCCTGCTCTAGTGCATTTGCTGAGGGTCCCAAATCTGATGGCACCTATCAAATGGGAGAAAAGAGCCAGCCCTATACGGAAAAATGCTTCTAGGTTTTGTTCCCCTTGAACGAAAGGGAATGAAGCCAGTTTTCTTCCTGAAAACAGGGAATAGCTGTTGAGGTAAGTCCCCATTAGGAGAATGAGTGCACACAGGGAGACGTAGGGAGAGTGATGTTGAATAACACACAACCAGCACACAGATACACTGAATAGTAAAATGTAGGTTTTACTTCCAGTAAACGGTTAAGCAAAGTCCAACAAGCAGTCCAAGTCATACACGGTTAAAGCAATCAGTATTCAGTCCAGGGATAATCCAAATAACAAAGTCCAGTATCATAAACAGTTCAGTAACAGACTTACAGCAATACAAGAAGAATGACAATCAGCAACAGTCTATAGGGAAAAATGCAGGAACCAAGAACATCAAACATCAGAACAACTAGCAACTAACAACAGAACAACCCAGGTTTCTGGCTCCATCTTATGGCTGTTTGAGGAACCAAACCCAATTACAATTTTAGCATTCCCTTAAAGAGACTGTATTAAATGTCTATCCTGGTTTATATATTTCCAACCCAACTGTTAGGTGACTATCAATTCCTAACAATAGCCAATGGCTTTTTCTGCACAATCAGACCTGCAGGCCAACTCCGGTGATGAGAAGTGGTGCTGCAATTAACTTGGAGCCAAGCTATAAAGGGCTTTTATGCATTAAAACCAGCAGTTTAAATTCAACTTGGAACTTACTAAGGAGCCTATGGAGGAACTTCAATGCAACTGGGAGCACCTGGGCATTTGATACCTACTGAAAGTTTGGGTTCGTCTCAAAAGGCAGCCCTATGCACAGTGGTGGGATTCAATATTTTTTTACTACCGATTCTGTGGGCATGGCTTGGTGGGCGTGGCAGGGAAAGGATACTGTAAAATCCCCATTCCCTCCCCACCCCACTAATCTGCTTTCCAGCTCTGTTCTCCTGTGCAGGACAACAAAAGAAGACCCAGCCAATCATCTGGGACTCGGGGGGCAGAGAATAGATGGGGGCGGGGCCAGTTAGAGGTGGGATTTGCCGGTTCTCTGAACTACTCAAAATTTCCACTACAGGTTCTCCAGAACTGGTCAGAACCTACTGATTACTCCCTCTGACCGGTACCAATGCAAGTAGTCTTTGACTTATGACCAAGGCTGTTGTTGAATCATGCCTTCTTTTATGAGCTTTTTTGCTCAGGTTGTCAGATCAATCAATCTCTGCAGTTATTCTGTGAATCACACAGTCCTTAAACGAATCTGGCTGCCTCCACCGACTTTCAGAAATGGCAATTGTGTGTGACCTTGGGAGGCTGGAACCATTGTGAATACATGCTGATTGCCAAGGGCCTAAATTTTGATCCCATGACCGTGGCACGCTTGTAAATGAAAAGAGTGGTCATAAGTCACTCTTTTCAGTGCTGTCATATTTTTGAATGGTCGCTAAACAGATGCTTGTCAGTCAAGGACTACCCAAACAGTGTGTTGCTCCAATAGAAAGAGGAGGATGAGGGCAATGAGCTATACTCTAGCAAGGTCCTTACGTCCAGGTAAGCTGGCACACAAGCTAAGACTTGGGAAAAGCTCCCCCAAACCACAGCTCCCACCAGCTATTTCAACAAGAGATCTCCCTGGGGGCTCCACATTGATAAAGATTGAATAATGGCAGAGAGAACTGACATCCGTGGTACAGGTAGAGGTACTCGACTTACAACCGTTCATTTAGTAACCAGTTGAAGTTACAACGGCACTGACAAAAATGACGTCCGTGGCAGCATCCCTGTGGTCACATGATCAAAATTCACACGCTTGGCAACTGGCATGGGTATTTATGATGGTTGCAGCATCCGGGGGTCACGTGGTCATCTTTTACGACCTTCTGACAAGCAAAGTCAATGGGGAAGCCAGATTCACTTAACAACGGAAGTGATTCATTTAATAACTGCGGCAAGAAAGGTTCAGAGATGGGGATTCAGCCAGTTCTGACCAGTTCTGGAAAACCGGTAGTGGAAATTTTGAGTAGTTCGGAGAACCGGCAAATCCCATCTCTGACTGAGAATTTACAGTATCCTCCCCCTGCCACGCCTACCAAGCCACGCCCACAAAACCGGTAGTAAAAAAAAATTTGGAATTCCACCAGGTTGTGAAATGGAACAAAACTCACTTAACCGTCATTCTTAGTAACAGAACATTTGGACTCAATTGTGGTCATAAGTCCAGGACTATCTGTAGTCCTGGGCTTATGGCCATTCACACTCAGTTACCATTTGAAGTTACAATTACTCTGAACAAAGGGACCTACGACAGGTGGCTTAAGTCAAAGCTGTTGCAGAGCCTCCGTAGTCCCATGGACAAAATTTGGACACGGGAGCAGCCCCTCCATCCTTACAACTGCAGGGCCATTTCAACTTACACCCCCCCCCCCATCCCTGCCCTTTGCTTCTCTAGCTGCTCTTCATTGTCTTCTTGCGCCTGCTGCTGACAAGGCGCCCCCGGCCTGGCCTGGCCACTGCTGGGCATGTCGGGTTTTCTTCCCCCGGTTGTGCCCAGCTGTTTCCTCATGAGACCTGGGGAAGATGGCCTCGGGCAGCCGACAGCTGCTTCCCAAAGAGCCAGGTTGGCCAGGCCTCAGCAGCGGGAGCAAGCAAGACAACGAAGAACTGCTGGGATGGTTGAGGGCCCAAGGTGGCAGCGGAGGGCAGAGTGGTGAAGGTAGGCCAGCTGTAGCTTTGCCCTGTAACTGGACCAGCGGTAGCTTTGCGCTGCGCTTTTGGGCCAAGGTGGGAGTGGGCTTCACACTGCAGTGCAGCTCAAGAACTACAGGACACCCGGAATTCCATTGGTACCACACTGTGGGTTAGGCTTCACACTGCTTTTCACAGTCCCCAAACCACAGGCCGGCACCAAAGCTCAGCTGCAGCCCAGCCCAAGAGCAAAATATAAAGGGGTTCCTTGGTGCACCCTGAATCTAGTCTAGGGTCACAAAAAGCAGGGCAAAGTCTAGCCTCAGGCCAGCCCTGGGAATAGAACACAAAGGAATACACCACACACCAAAGGTGGTATTTGGCAGATTCTGAACGGTTCTGGAGAACCGGTAGCAGAAATTTTGAGTAGTTCACAGAACTGGCAAATACCTCCTCTGACTGGAGATTTTAAAGTATCGTTCCCCAGCCAGGCCCAGCAAACCACGCCCACAGAACCGGTAGTAAAAAAAATGGAATCCCACCACTGCCACACACTGCAGCTCTGGGGCTGCAAAAGGCCCAGGTTGACCCTACAACCAGGCCAGGCATCCCTCGCCAGCACCAGGAAGAAGTTGGTGAAGGACAGCAGAACACAGTGTGGGAAGGGCCTCTGAAGCTGGGCCTGGGGCACCCGGGGCTTCCTGAGGTGTGGGAAGCACCTCCAGTTCCACACAATTCAGGGTCTGTTTGCCTCCCTGTCAAGCAGGGTGCACGGAGGACAAAAGGAAGAGATGAGGAGATAGGCATATTTGGGGGGGGGGAATTTAGAAGCAGTCCCTTGCCAAGGCTTGGAGGCACAAAGCCCAGAATGGCTTGGATTGGGGTGGCTCCTCAGCTTGTGATTGGTGGACTTCACTTAATACTGTAGGTCAGGGGTCCCCAAACTTGGCAACTTTAAGACTTGTGGACTTCAACACCCAGAATTCTCCAGCCACCTATGCTTAAAGCAAAGCTGGATGAGGAATTCTGGGAGTTGAAGTCCACAAGTCTTAAAGTTGCCAAGTTTGCAGAACTCTGCTATGGGTATTCTCAACTTAGAACCCCAATTAAGCCCCAAATTTCTATTGCTAAGTGAAACATTTGTTAACGGAGTTTTCCCCCGTTTTATGAATTTTCTTGCCATAGTTGTTCAGTAAATCACTGCAGTTGGTAAATCAGTAACAAAGTTGTTAAGTGAAACTGGTTCTCCCCTTTGACTTTGAACTGTTGTAGGTCGAGGACTACCAGTAACAGCAATGGGAGGTGCTAGGACTGCCATCACTAAGCCTACAGTCATATGACGTTGTGCTTTATGACTACCTCACTTAGTGACAGAAACTCCATTCCCAATTATGGTCTTACATTGAGAACTACTGGCACTCAAGGGTGTCACTACCATGCAAGCTCTTCACCCCCACCACTACTTGAAGGGGCATGTGGAAGACCATGGTTATTTCAAGCGGCTTAGGGGCATATTTTGATTTCTTCTTCACATTAAGAAAGTTTAGAGCTTGTTCCCGGTTTGGCTATTCTTTTAACTGAATAAAGGAGGGGAAGAAATCTCCAAATCTTCAAAGCTGTTCTCACTGTGAAAGCCTCATACTTTTGATTCCCATGCCAGAGTCACATGTCACGCAGTCAAGGGCAGGCCTTGCAGTGTTCTAACCATAACAGGGCCTTGAAGCCATGGTGACAGGTTTTGATAAAAATCTCAGGGTTGCTGTTGTTTGCCTGGAGCATGGAACATAGCACTGGGTACTATGGAAATTGGCCACCCTTCGTGCACCTCTGGTATTAAGGAGCTCCTAGGAGCTTATAAGAGATTTGAATATTATCCTGCTTGGTATGTATGCTTTTTATGTTATGTTTTTTTAATCTGTTTGCTTTAGCTAATAATAAAGTTTAAAATCCCTTTATTTACATTGTCTCTGATTGTAAAAGAACCAGTTGCATGGGCACCTGATCACTTGGAAAAACACTACTGACTAGAATCATCCTCTAAAGAGCAAAAATACCATAAAATGGCTCCAATCCACCCATGATGACCCAAAAGATCTCAAAGTCCAGTGAGAAAAGGGCCACGGCAGATACACCAGCCCCATACAAGGGACAGTGACCAAAGCTGTTTCAGTCACATGCCCGAGCCTAAACTTTGACTGATAAAGAGTCCACACAATTCCGTTTTTGAAGAGCTATGAAAACAGTTTTTCAGAGAGGCATTTGCAGACGCTTGAAGATTCTGCTTCCTGGGGACAGGTGAGGATTATCTTGTATTACAGTTATGCTTGCGTAGACTCTTTCGCATTGTAGTTTTAAATGTGCGTACTAAAATTTAGGACGATGCTCCAATTTGCCATCTTCCAGATCAGGGGTTTCCAACCTTGGCAACTTGAAGACTTGGGGACTTCAACTCCCAGAGTTCCTCAGCTGGCTGAGGAACTCTGGGAGTTGAAGTCCCCAAGTCTTAAAGTTGCCTAGGTTGGAGATCTGTTTTCCAGATGCTTTATGATTACATCACTCGCAGTTGCCCCACCCCAGGATCATTAAAGACACAGACACCTCTTTTGCATTGGCCCCTGGGATTGGTGTTCAAAATTGCAGGAGCAATGGGTTTCTGGTTTTTTTTAAGTGGCCATTTTTCCACTTACATCACTTTTTCCCTTCCAAAGATTGAAGAAGGGATTGTTCTTAGTTTCCGTATCCCACCTTTGGAAGATGAAATGTCTTCTCCTAAGGAGCTCGGATTTCAATACAGGTAGTCCTTGACTTATGACCACAATTAAGCCCCAAATTTCTGTTGCTAAGCAAAACATGTAAGTGAATTTTGTCCCATTTTACCATCTTTCTTGCCACAGATAGGTGAATCTCTGCAGTTGTTAAATTAGTAACACTGTTGTTAAGTGAATCTAGCTTCCCCGTTGACTTTGCTCTTAAGAAGGTTGCAAATGTTGATTACATGATCCCAGGATCATCCACTGCAATTGTCATAAATATGAGTCAGGTGCCAAGTGTCTGAATGTTGACGATGGGACCATGGGGATGTTGAAATAGCTGCAGGTGTGAAAAACGGCCCTACCTCACTTTTTTCACTGCCGTTGTAACTATGAACGGTCACTAAGTGAACTGTTGTGAGTCGAGGATTATTTGTAATAGTAAGAAAGGAGGGTGGAGAAACACCCTTCCCCATCTTAGTTCGGCCTTTCGCCTTCCACCAACCAAGCCTGCCTATTGTTCGATATCCGAGTCTCCCCCGCACGACCCTCGCCTCTCCCTCCGGACTCCGCACAATGCCTCCCGGCCCTGCTCCGCCCGCCGCCGTGGCACTCACCCGCCCAGCAGCAGCCCCGCGCCCAGCAGCAGCAGATAATTGCTCTGGTAGTACAGGAGGTTGTTAATCACGCGATTGTGCCAGCGCTGCAGGTCCCGCACGTCCGGGGCAGCCAAGCGAGTGGAGCCCAGGAGAAAATCATCCAGCGCCCGAATTGGGGGGAACCGCACCTCGGACATCTTCTCTCGCTCGGGGCGGGAGGAACTACCACCCCCACAATGCATTGCGGCGACAGACCGTGCCAGCAGGAAGACATGGAAACTTGGAATACCGCGGAGGAGGAGTGGAGCCGGGCGTCGCCTTTAGCGGCCGCTGGAGTTGCTTTCTTTTCCTGGGCTTCTGTAACTCCCCGGGGCTTTAATCGCCTCATAGCGATAAGAAAGATGCCACTCCTCCAAGGAAACATTGGGGACTTCTACAAAGACCTGCAGGCAACTATACAAGCTACTTTATACTGATACAATAAGCTAGGCTCCCTGAAAAGTCCGGTGTGGTTTTTGAAAAGAATTGGGATGGGCCAAATAAACGAAATGAGATCCCTTTTGTTGCTTCTTCTGCTATATACCGGTAATCTTAAAGATTAAATGGATTGATAGATCAATGACTCCCAACACTTTACCAGAGGCAGAATCTTTTATTACAGCATCTCCTAGATACGGCCATCTGGCTTCTCTTTCAATGCCTCCAGTAAAACAAAGTCCACCACAACTCCACTATTGGGTACAATTAGGATTTTTCTGATTTTAAACCAAAGCCCACTTGATACGTGAACGTGTTTTTTGTCCTGTTTTTGGAGTAAGTCTAAAAATCTTGCCTTTTCTACATGGCAGCTCTTCAGAAACATGGAGGCAACCATTGCATCTCTCCATTGCCTTCTCTTCTCCAGCTAGGTGCCTCCAATGTGTTTTTCCTTTCCTCTTGAATGCTCTCCTCTGGAAATGCTTCAGCTTGTCAATCTCCTTTCTAAAATGCAATGTCTGGAACTGGATATAACATTCTAGTGTGTCCTGAGCAACACACAACAGAAAGGAAGAGAGCTTGTTTCTCTTGATCCGGATAGTGTTCTTCGGTTGATGAAGCTGAGGGCTGGGTTTGCTTTTTTATTTTCAGCTTGTACCACATCTATCTCTGGCTCAGCTCATGATCCCCGAAGATCCCCCAAATCCTTTTTTGCCTGTGATGCTGTGGTCCTCCATCTTCTACCTCTGATTTTTTTGTTCACCTTACTGATTTCCACCCAATGTTCTAACTTTGGAGATTCTCCTGAATCTTGATACTGTCCGGTAAGCTTTTAGTTCTTGTGTGATCAACAAGCATTGGAGAAGGGGACAGTCATGGGAAATACACAATAAATAAATGGCAGTGCTGGGATTGGAAAGTTGTGTTTTTGCTTTGCATCATTGCAGTCCCATTCGTGTCTAGTCTTTCTTTTTCCAGAAACATCATTCCATTTGTAAGGCGCTCACATTTAGCTTACTGAATATATTGGAATCTGATCGTGTCAGTAATCACTCTCCGCTCCCATTATTGCTCACAGAAGGGGTTTCTTTCCACAATGACTCTCCTACATGTATGACATCAAACCATAGGGCAGTTTTAATGTAGTATGATGTACAAATGCATCCAAAGTTGAATGTTCCTCAAGTGCTAAGAAAATAGTCAGCAAATTTTTCAGACAGTGAACAGCGCTGTAAAATTTCTACTGCTATGACAGAATTGAATTTAATAAATATACAAATAAAATGTTAGCTTTTTTGAAAAAGAAAATAAAAAATAAAAAGTCCAAAAATCTCACCAAATCTTATTGTTTTTTAATCTTACAAAAATTCTTGTAAGACAATAGAGAGGTTGGGAGATGTGACTTCAAAAAATTCTGGCCAGTGTTTATTAATTAGAATGGCAGGGGGAGGCATTCACAATGGTAGTTATGAGTACTGTGTTGTATTTATATAACTAGTACAACAATATTGGTATAGGGAGAGGTCAGAAAGAAGTCAGTTGAAAAGGGAAAAAAATTTAAAGCTGCACAATTCATATGATATATGAATGTTATCAGTTTAAATTAGACAAAGAGTATCTGTGTGATTGATATTCTGCTCTTAAAACTACTTGCTCTTATAGAAGTAATAAGGAAGGCATCTAGTTCACTCTAGCTTTTTTCCTCTAGAAAAAAGGATGGGTTGCTATCTGGTCTTCTCCAATGAAGGATTTCATAAAGAATGATATTTTCCACCTACATATGGACAACAAATAAGATTTCACATCAGAATGTCAGTTCTTCAGAATGTCCTTCATCCTTTATTGTTCACAGAATGTCAATTAAATAACATAAACATCTGTTCTTGATTCTTAATGTTAACTATGCCTTTTTTCCTCCTCCCCAAATGCCCATCATTGTTGGGTGCATCCAGATACGTACCTCCAAAGGTCCCAGGGTATAGGAAGCACAGTGACCTGAAAGGTTCTTGCTCCTCAAACTCAGCTGTCTGTATTTCTCAGTCCCAAATGAATATGGCAGCTGAGCTAAAGCAGCAGTAAGAACAGACTTCTGGAAAGGTGGCATCAAGAAAGAAAAAATGCAGCTGTTCTCCAGAATTCACTCCACCCTTATATAGCAAGATGCTTTCAGCCTTTCCCATCTCGGCACTCTGAAAACCTTTGCATTGTATCTAGTGATGGTCTTCTGCCAGCAGAATTCCCATTCCCTGCAGCTTCCCCCCACACCTCCAAATTTGTTATGGAATATTAAAGAACCTTCTGGAACATACGGGGGCAAAGGTGGAGAGGAAAGGAAACTCCTGTTGCTGCTTGTGTAACGCTGGATTTCAAGGCTTCAGCCTCACATGCTTTTGCTTGAACAACGGGAATAAAGCTACACTCAAAAGTCATCATCGTCGCATATATCCAAGTAGACATCAAAGGCCTCACGGTTGCAATTTCCATCAGGAGTGAAGACATACTTATGGAAAGTACCATCCACACAGATAGCTGTAAGAGTAGGAAACAGAACAGAATGTGGGCAAGTGATCAAGAATAGGATTCAGAAGAACTCAATGCATGAAGAGATCGCATGGCAGAGAATCTACAATGATCATCATCTTTTAATGAACCCATAATTCCTTGTGGGGTGGAGTCTGGCAATCGAATGGAGCTAGCAGAGTGGTTAATGGCCGGATGTCCTTCTTGACGCCAATACGGAGTTTTGTTCAGCAGATATATTCTCATTGTGCCCAGAGAAAGAAATATCTGCCTCTACCTAGGACTGAATTCACAGCCTCCTGTTTGTGAGGCGAGAGCTCCACCTCTAGGCTACCGTACCACTCCAGTAATAAATATGAGGAAACTAAAACAGGAGAGGGAGGGAGGGGGTCCTTAACCTAAATAATCAATGGCGGGATTGGTCTTGGGTCATGGTTGTATGGGATACACTTCAAGAGGCCCAACTCATCTACTGCCTCTCATCAGTGCCACTCACCAATGACTGAATTGACGTTCTTGGAGGTGTTTCTCCCAAAAGCACAGATGCAGGCAGACTCCGCTGGCACGGTGAAGCTGGCCAAGCTCCACTGAGAATCCACATACTGACCTATCATGGGCCCAACTTTTCCCACACGGGCCAATCTGTGAGAGAGCAGGAGAAAGAATGTGATTAAGGTCCTACAGATGACCATCTTTCATACCCATTTATAGCACCATCCTCCCTGCCTCCTCCACTACCTACGCTGAGCGGCGGTTTAATCGGGTATCTTTCAAGGCAAAGATATGGACAGTCCCTTTGTCACTGGACGCACAGAGAAATGAAGAGTCGTGGCTGAAGTTAATGCTGTGGGGAAGAAAGGAGTTTCATCTGACAATTCAAGGTTTCTTTCCATGATCGCGTCTCTATAATAGCAAATGCCTTCTTTTCAGTAATCTGTATATTACTCCTGAAGAGGAGCCTGGTAAAATATCCCTTGACTGAGGCAACCTCTTTCCAGAAATATTGGGAATGCAACTTCCATAATTCCTAGCCTTTCTGGCTAAGGAATAGGAGTTATGGACCCCATCACAATCAGTTAAAGTCTTGGTAGTTTACATAGTAGAAAAACAAAACATCCACAAAGCAATTATGTAACAGTGAAATAAGAACAGAATTTTTAAAAAAACCAAAATATGGTCCCCCAAAAGTTAAAATGGTCTTGTGAAGAGCTGTGTCTTCAACATCTTCCAGAATGTCCTTGCAGCCCCAATTCCGGTTGAGCTAGGTTGATCTGTATTAGGAGTTTAGCAGTTCCTAAAACTGTTAGAGCAGGGGTCTTCAAACTTGGCAAGTTTCAGACTTGTGGACTTCAATTCCCAGAATTCCTCCTCCAGTCATGTTAGCTCAGGAATTCTGGGAGTTGAAGTCCACAAGTCTGAAACTTGCCAAGTTTGAAGACCCTTATGTTAGCTTATTACACAGCCACACCACTGGAGCCTCTGAAATCACAATCAAACCTTGGATATGATCATCTCACTGACACCCAGAACCCCCAAGTTTACTAGCATCTGAGATGAAACCTCTGAGAAACACATTAACAAGAAATGGGAGCGGCACCTGTTCATAGGGTTGTTAATCTAGGACCAAGCCCCTTGGATGTTGCCATGCTGTGCAATGTTTCACTTGCTTAGCTTGCTTCACTTGTTACATAATAGCAGGGCAGGTTCCCTTACTTGCCTGCAAACTATTGGAGATGTATTGCTTTTTAGCTAGCAGAACAAACCAGTCTCTCTAACAAAGACCTTGCGACCTGCAGTATGTGCACTTCCAGTAATAGTGCATTAATTGATGGATGGATTGATTTGATCTGCATGGGCCTTCCACTTGAAAAATCACTCTCTCTGGTAAACAAGCTTACAACAATGATAAAAACAGCAAACTTGTCTGGTGCAGCACAGATATCTGCATCAGTTACCGCCTTAAAAATTGGCTCACCTATCTTCCTGGCCAGTACTCAGGCAAAAGACAAACATTGACACTTAAGAAGCAGAAAAGGTTTGTAACTTGAGCTGGAAGCCTTTTGCTTATTTTTCCATGCACAGAATAAAACCATCCAGAACAGCGATCTCTTTAATAATATGGCTTGATCTGATCTCACCTTCTCAGTTCAAAACTACCTTCAAAAGTTAATAACATTCATCCCAATTCCTTGGTGCCATTATCTGCCTCCGCTGCAATCCCCTTGTTAGGTATT